AAGGAGACCAGGCTCTCAGGGAGCCAGATCTCTATGTAACTTTTCTTTTGCTAATATGTGTTCTAGTGGTAGAAACACTGAGCAATAAAATTGTCACAGAGTGAAAGCAGAAAAAAGAAAAAAACACCGTCTCAGGTGAATCCTACCTTTTTGTGTCCTGTGAAGTTAATTTGCATGTCACTTATACTGAACAAGACTTAACTGTACCTTAGGTACTACCCATGAAAATAACTTTGCTAAGAAAAATAACTCAGTAGATGTGAATAGAATAGGGCTTACTTCATCTATGCAGAGAATAAATTATTATTGAATACTTTTGGCAGATTATATGAGAGTCACTAATGTTCCTGGCCTGTATACAGATTAAATATAATAGGTCTCCCTGCCAATTTTTGTGTTTGTTAGAACTCTTATCTATTTTATACATACGTATTTTCCCAAAATTCAAATTGGTTTTCCTCTAAGTTTAGATAAGTGGGGTTTATTGGATAGTTATTCTTTAGTGGTTAAATTGATTATGGAATAGAAGTAGTTCAAGCAAAACTATTAAGAAATCTCTGTTTTAAGAGAGTGTTCTTAAATGAGCACATTGACTCAGCACTGAGTATAGATGGGCATATATTTATTATTTATATTTTAGGTTATTTTCCTGCTGCCTTATTTTCCAAATAGGATGAATATTTTACATTTCAAATATCTCTATGTGTATTTCGTAGAAGTAGCTGCTGAAAATTCTGTTGAAATTGCCTTTTACTAGCAATAGAATTAAGGATTTTAATTACCAAGATACACCCTGATGTGTAGCGTGATCAAATGAAATTATGTTGATAATTGAACTGTTGGTGTATTTTATGTGCTTCTTAAAAAGTTTCCTCCTTTCTCTTCACTTATCACTTCTCAATATATTTTACTCTTTTCTCTCATTTTTCTATACATTTAAATTTCTTTCCATTGTATTCTCAGTGACTGAACACAATGCTATAGCTTTATCTCCAGTTGCTCTCTCAATGAAGTCTTCTAAATCACTTAACGTAAAAGATGTCAGCGTATATATTTTTTTAAAAGCACACATTAAGTGGAACTGATATGAAGGCAAGATCAATGAAGCAAGATTGGTCTCTGCTGTACTCTCCAGAGACTAATTCCAAAAGTAGTTGACTTTATTTGCCGTGGTTGACAGCTTCTCAGACTGCTTGAATAAATTTGAGTATTAATATGCTTCCTGTCTATTTAGAAAGAATTACTATGCCGTCTGCCTCAGGAGGCTGCTTTATTTCCAGATTTAATTCAGCACAATATGATGAGTCCCAACTTTTGAGTTAGGCGTCCTATTTACAAAACATGCGTGATTTAATAAATATGTGTTCAACTCCCTCTCTGAGCAACATGCTGTGCTACACATAGCAGGATATACAAAGGTATGTAAGGAGTATCTCCTGAAAGCTTCAAAACACTTAGCCCCAAGATAATAGAGAAGAGAGTGACATGCAATGGAATTGGGTGCGATGTGCCATTTTTTTCAAAGTTACATAGAAGATGTAGTCTTAAGTGGGGGTGGAGGGACAAACTTCCATTGAGTACCTGCAGACACTGCATGTACATCTTCATCTCCACAGTAGGCACATGAGGTGAATGGTACAACCCACATTTTACAGATAAGAAAAACTAAATCACTCCCTTAAAGTCATTCTGCCAATTGTGTCAACATAATAGTGCCTGGCACATAGTATGTACTTCATGAATGGTTTTGAATGTTGAATAAATCTTTCAGGGAAGCAATCTTCAACATACACCAAGAGTCTATATGTGCTTTGAACCAGCAATTTTATTTCTAGTTATTATCATAGATGTGGTAAAGATTGTGTGTATATGTGAGGCAGGAGGTTGGTAAAGAGGCAGAGTGTAGAGAGCTGTATAGGAGGTGACCTTTAATTGTGAGGAAGGTGTCCAGATTTCTGGCTGGATTAAGGACCTGGGCAGATATTGGGGTTGTTCACTAAGCAGGGGACCCAAAGGAAAAGTAGGTGTGAAGGGAAAAGATAATGAGATGAGGTTTTGACTTACTGAACTCAAGATGACTTTGGGTCATTCTGTTGGAGTTTTCCATAAGAAAACCTATGGGCCTGGAGCTCAGCAGCATGACCTAGTGAAAGATAAGGATTTGGTTATGGAAGTCAAGAGCTGGATGAGATTGCTCCAGAGAGAGTCTGTAGAGTGCAAAAGAGAAGAGAGTGAGGGGAAGAACCCTGGGATTACAGTTTGAGCAAGAGGATCCCAGATAGAAGAAAATAAGTCAGCAGAAGATCTAGGTCAATAGAAGAGAAATAATAAAGATTTAGGGAATTGTCAACAGAGCGAAATGATATACTCAGAATTTATAATCCAGCTGGGAAGTCATTGCATCTACAGGTGAAAAAGTCAAGTAGGAGAAGAGTTGCCCGTGATTGTACTTAATTAAGTAACCAAGAAGGATATAGATATTATTTAGGGAGTTGAGTGGAGGGAGAGATTAGAATTGATCTGAAGCTTAATAAAGGTGATGGGACTTAACTGGGCCTAAAATGTGGGTAGAATTGAAACTGGAAGAGGTTATTTCAACTGAGGAAATGAAATTTTTTCAAATTCATCCTGATGCCTGAAAATAACTGAAGGTGGATTTCCTATTGGCAGTAGTCAGCAATGTCATCTTTCAACAGTGAAGACAGCATCTAGTTCTCTATGAGTTATAATGACTCCTGCTAAACAGTATCATATAAAACTGAGTGTGATGTTACCTGACGTCACGTGCAAGATTAATTTCAAATAACAAAGCAGCAAGGCTTATGTGTAGTGGGTTCATTCCAGAAGCACGATGTGAAGATCATGCAGGTCAATTCCAGTGGGAAAAGGCAAGTCTTGCTTATACACCCTCTTGATTTTATAGTAGCTAATTCTAAAATCCTTTTGATTTAAGGCAGCTATTCCTAGTGGTGAAGTTGCAGCTTCCCTGCCGTATCTTTTCCCAGTCCCCTGGTGGCTAAGCTGTGAATAAATGGAAGGAGACAGAAAAAGGAGATTTTCTTGTGCCCTCTCCCAACTCCTCTGCGCCCTTCTCCATCTTCCTGTTCCACCCCATTGGCCTCTTCCTTTTTTGAGAAAACTTGACTTTCGATGTGGCATGGGTAATAACTCTTAATTTACCAAGAGGAGTACCTTGAGGACAGAAACGGTCAGGCGTTACCTTGGGAAATAACCTGTCAAAACCTATCTGTATACCAGTCTGCCCACAATTCTGTCTTGGTGATTGCTTCTCTGGACCAACACCGTATCTGCAAAGAACAAGGTAGAGAATAAGGAAAAGTCACTGGAAAACCAGGCTCAAGTTCTGTCCCTGTCACTTCCCTAGTGATACAGTCTCGTGCAAGCCTCTTAACCTCTGCTAGTCTCAATCCTGTCAGTCGAATTGTGACAATCAAGTGAGATAATATTTGTGAAGGTGCTGTATGATTGCAAAGTGCTATTCAAGTGTTGAGCATATGGATAGGTTATTATCATAGTTATGAGTATGATATGAAAGCAAAGGGGACCAAGATTTCTCCTCCTAAATCTGTTCTGAAGACCGAGACCTTTCATTCCAACCTTGCATTCAACCAGATTTACCTAGAACCTGCACTTCCTCTGCTCCCTGTTTATCTGTGCTGATTTATCTTGGTTCATGTAATGCTTGATGCAACTGAGTAACACTGAGTTAACCCCATTCTCCTCCCCTTAGTGCATAATTGAATCCCTTGAAATCCATCATTAAAGAAGAAAAATAGAAAAACATTTACTAAGTGCTTCCTCCAGTCAAGGCACTTTCTTTGCCTGAGATCCTTTTCCACAAACCACAGACAGTGCCCAAAGAGGAGAAATTAAGAAACCTTTGCCGCTGAGACCAGTGGAAATTGCATTTCTATTAAAAGCTGTCTGTGGCTGGATGTATCCATCCCAGGTGCAAAGTTAAATGATGTAATAAACTTATTCAAAGGCATAAAGCCATTATATAAAATGCCATTAAATATCTCACACTCTAATGTTAACAAAATACAGCTATAAATTTCCTTTGGTTGTCATTTTGCAAGTTGCTATTTCTCAGTGATTTATGCATCGGCAAGTTCTTCACTATTGAATTTTGCTGCCCAATCCTGGCAAATGGGATGTCAGGAATGTGTGACCCTTTGAGATGCAATGGCTTTCAACTTTCTTGGTATCACCACTCCTGAGTTTGGAAGTGCCAAGTTTCTTCTAGCGCTGGTTTCTATCACTGTTTTCTACCTGCTGGTTAAGTATGGTCCTGAGGCTCCGTGTTTCACATACTAGAGATCAGAGGTAAGGAGTCCCAAGCATCCGAGCCATGGTACAGAATTCAAGGTTGGGAACAGACACATCTACTCTGCGCTTTGAGACTGGATCCTAGCTCGTACACGAAGCTGTACATTTTGGGGTGTTCTTTACTTGCTGGATGAAGGGGTAAAATGAAGAAGAAGAGTTGGAAGGAATATATAGAGCATTCTGTCTAGAAAAGTTCTGTGGTCCCAGTTTTCCTGTGGTTATTCACCGAAACCACAGGTCAAAAGGAAATAACATAAGATCCAGATATGTCTCACTGAACTTGCCTAATTCTGTGAACTTGTCAATGTTTTCATTTATCTTTGCAAGCCAAGTTGTAAATCCAGACAGGCCCCATCCTTTTGAGCCTCATCAGATACTGACAGAATGGAAATAACTGGCGTGTTAGTGATGGGATTATAAAGAAGCATTTAGGATTTTCCTAGGTCCTGCAGTCAATGGCTGTTCTTGCTGCAAGTGCGTCAGTCAAACCCAATCAAAAGAAATGTCGTCGGCCTGTTTCCTAGACACTAGAGGAGCAGGCTTTCTGCAGTGTGACCTGCCTTCCTCTTACAGGGTACTCACCCTGCAGGAGTCTGGTCACTGTGGGTCAGCCGAGCCAGCTTCTGATGCTCCTGCTCTCCTCCTTTCAGGAAACAGCATCCTCCATTCAGCTGCCGACAGCGTGACCAGCGCAGTGCAGAAGGCAAGCCAGGCCTTGAATGAGCGCGGAGAGAGATTAGGCCGAGCAGAGGAGAAGACAGAAGACCTGAAGAACAGTGCCCAGCAGTTTGCAGAAACTGCGCACAAGGTGGGCCAAGAGAGGGGCAGGCTTCTCAGCTCTGGGGTGTTGGGGAGCTACAGTGCCAAGAAACTTTATTTCAGTATTTTCCTGTCATGAGATACAAAATTAAGCTTTTTATTTCCCCTTTATGTAATTCCCATCTGCTACTTACTAAACACCTGAGTCGTGGAAAATTTCTTCTTGTACCTGGTTTCTTTGGCTCTTTTCTGATGTCCTCATCCGTTTCTCTGACATTCTGATCTTGGATCTTTAGGAACTATGGACCATCTTTAGTTCCTGCTCAGAAGTTTAGGGCTCAGTTATCGAGGCACAGAATAGTGGGTGGGGGAGAAGAGATCAGGTCTTCGAATATCCCTGCCCCACTTAGCCAACACATGGAGGATGTGAGGCTGCTCGTGCTTGCTTTTCCATCCTGTCCCTTTCTTATCCTGAGTCTGAGTCTGCCATTGTGTCCTTATCTCTTCACCAGACACAAAGCAAGCCCTAGTCCCAGGGAACTATGCACCTCGGTGGGTTGTTATTTCAGGGCCTCAATTCTGGGGCTCTGAGCTTGACCGGACCAGCGCTGAGCTGCCAGCAATACTCCCTGCAGCCCCTGCATCCAGAGAAGGGCATTTCCTGCTTGACTGAGTGCGCACTCTGCACATTCTCATACTGGCTGAGAACTGCGCCTTTTAGAAGGGAAAGGGGCAGTTTTTATTGGCAGCCAGCTATCTAAGGCAGTCATAAACCAAAGGAAAGAGAGGCCCTGTTGGTCAGGTGATAAAGAGGATTTATTACTGTTCTTGTGTTTCAGATCAAAGGGCAGTTTTTTTCTGGTTAGTGGTTTGAATTTAGGCTCCCAGAAACAACATCTGCTGATGACTTGTGTTGGCATGTCAGACTTACGATCTGGCCCTTAAAATACACTTTTCAGGTGACCTTTTGGGAAAAAAAAATAACTGGCTTTAATAGAAACCCCACTTCTGCTGAGGAAACAAAGATGGATAACCTAAAAAGCAATGAGAAAAATATCCCCAGCTGAGTTGCGGTGACCTCTTCTGGAGGCTCACGCTCAGGTCCAGCTGGGGATCCAGCTCTGAGTGGATGACTCCTGCTTTCTCTTCCTGCATCCCCTTTGTGCAACCCTGTCTTGTCGTCTTATTCATTCTGTCGTGACAGGGTCTTAATGCACTGTTGTCTGTGGGGCCCATTTCGAGTTCCTTCAAGGAGAATTGGCCAGATCTGCCTGAAAATGCAGACAGCCCTGCTGGAGGCCAGAGCCTCAGATTGCTGCTGTTGGTGCAGATGCAGAGAGACTGAACTTGGATTTAAGGTCTCCCTAGTTCCTTCCTCCTTTCTCCAGTCTCTGTGACACAGAGATAATGATGACATGGAAATGCTGGCATTATAGCGTCAGCTTCCTTAACAACAACAGCAGCTTCCATGATTTCAATGGGAGAACGGATAGTGGAAATCTGGGGAAACATTTAAGTTATTGAGTTGGGTAGAGAAGGCTAAAGGGAATAACTTTGTAACAGTCTTCAGTTCTAGGAAGGGTGATAGTACAGGCATTTATCTTTCATGTCTTCCTACACAGAATAGAGTAATCAATAGTGCGCTGATAAAATTCTGCTAAAACAAGAATTTAGGTTAATGATTAAACCATGAACCAGGTTACCAAGGAAGATTGTGAAATTGCTCTTCCTAAGGTGGAGTAGACAATACCTGGATGTCATCCACGTAGGCGTCCCTCCCAGAGGGGGCTGTACAAACACTGGATTGGATCACCTAACCAGATGGCCTGAATTCTTGACCCTGGTAGCCCTGTTTCCCTGATACTGTGGCCAAGTTTGCTAGGTAGTTGGGAAAGCAATATGGAATAGTAGTTAACATCTTGTGTTGGAGTATAGCTCTATCATTTACCATCTTGGTGACCTTGGGCAAATGCTTCATTTCTCTAAGCCTCAGTTTTCTCATCAGTAAAATAGAGCACCATTCTTTATCAGAATGGTAAGTACCTCCTAGAGTATTCAGAGAATTGAATGAGTTCAAAGCTATTAGCACAGTATGTAGTGCATATAAATCTAAATTACTATTATTTTTAATCATTTTCATATATATTTTATATATATATCTTTTTTTTTTTTTTACTGACCCTGCCCTATTCAGTCACATAATGAGATAATGAGCATGGTTGAGGGATTGGAGAATTGATACTGCTGGTTGAGGATCCTCAACACAGGGACAGGGAAGGAATGGAGGAGAAGATTTTGTACCTCCCAAACCCAAAGGGAAAGGGGTGTGGGAGGGCCTCCTGCTAAATGTTGATACTATCTAAACACAGATCAGCCCTTGAAACAGGACCTATCAGGATAGAAACTAATGCAGCCACCAAAGGCAAAGGGGTCTCTGGCTTGACCAGTGGGAAAATGTATTTCTAGCAGTTACCTGCTTTCACTCGGGAGAGGTGAGGCATGGACAGCTTGTGTTTATTTTGGTTTCCCCTCCCTTAGGTAATCTCAGGGGGAAGAGGAGGGGTTACTAGTGTCTGTTAATGTGTATGAGAGTTGGAGAGTGTCATGGCCAGACTTGCAGTTGTCTGAAACTGGGATATGTGCCTATGAATCACTGGCACTGGCAGTATTCCTAACAAGCAGACTGACCTCTCTAGATAAGGTGTGGTTATTTTCCCAGGGCCTAGGACTCTTGATTTGGACCTACTAGCATAGGCTGACCATGAAGATGTCATTTTACTGGACAAGCCACAGCCAGGCCTGCTGGTGAGGGGAGAGTTCAGAGATGGAACCCAGGCATTCTACCCACTAGACAAGCATGGCTCTGTTGACTCAGAAGGAGTAAGTTGTGCTTACAAGTGGGGGCCAGCACACATGGCAGAGTCCTGAGCAGAAAATGGCAATGCCAGGTGGCAGCTCCTAGAGCTCCCAGTTGAATAAGGGCACCCAACCCCAGCTGGAGAGTTTGGCACACCTTTGTAGAGTCCAGTAGAAAAGGGTCTTTGGCCTTCTAACTTGTTCCAGGACTCCTGCAATGACCCAGGTGCAAGAGTGAGTGAATCACTTTTGTACAACCCTGACTTCAAAATACGCAGGTGTTCGTCGTCTACAGTGCAGATAGAAAATGATCCTTTCCCCTCCGCCTCCCCAGACTGACTCCCCTACCTCCACTCTGGTGAGCCTGGTTTGAGGAAGTGTGGTTCTTTCTTGAGCTCCTGACTTCATGCAAGGTTAACCTTAGGAAAGTGACCGCAATCACAGAATCAGATCTGCTCACTTTCCCTTGCCGAAAAGCACAATGTTGCAGCAGGTGCAGTGCTTTGACGGCCCCACCATAGGCTGTGAGTCAGTAGACAAGAGCATTACCCACACTCAGACATCCTCAGATGACATTTCTTGCAGAAAAAAACATTGACCCACCCTGTTTTACACTAGCCTATGTGTGTGGAGGAAGAAAGGGTGTGTGGCGTATCTCTCACTGGGAGGGAATGGCTGCCTCTACCCTTACTACCTAAGGAGCTCAGGTCTGGGTCTTAGGAGCACAGGTCTTATAATACATAGTATTATACTATTATATTATTATAATATAATACTATTATATCATAATAGTATTATAAAAATAAAATACATGATTTTATTATTTATTATTATTGATATACTGATATACAGATATACTGATACTATATCTCCCTGGTATCAGTCACAATTTTATTATTATCATTTTTTAGGTTGGGTAGGTTACATGCGTAGCGTTGAAAGAGAACTCTTTCCATGAGATATTAAGAACACAAAACATATCAAAAGGAAATTTTAAATTTTAACAACTCTGACACCTAAATTTATCCATTGGCATTTAGAGTTGGAGACTTTTTTATAGACATAAGAGGAGGCTGAGGTGTGGAGCAGCTGTGACTTTAGAGCTCAAGGTCATACAGCAGATTTGTAGCAGCAGGTATCCTGACCTCATTTCAGGCAGTGCTCTTTCTGCTCTACCTCCCTGCCTTCCATATTCCAACACTCCTAATTCCTAGGGAATTTTTAAACAAAAACTAAAATGATACTACTTTCTTAGTACATTCAGGCTGCTATAACAAAATACCATCAACTGGGTGATTTATATACAACAGAAATTTATGTCTTACAATTCTGGAGGCTGGGAAGTCAAGATCAAGGAACTGGCAAATCCTGTGTCTGGTGAGGGCCTGTTGTTTGGTTCATACATGGCACCTTCTCATCATGTCCTCACATGGTGGAAGCGGTGAGGGGTCTCGCTTCAGCCACTTTGTAAGGACACTAATCTCATTCATGAGTGCTCTGCCCTCGTGACCTAACTGCCTCTCAAAGGTTCCACCTTCCAATAGTATCACCTTGGGGGTTAGGTTTCAACATAAGAATTTTGGGGAAACACAAACATTTGGACCATGGCAATACTCAAATAGCAAAATGTCCAGTAACTGTATTTCTGCAAATCTCAGCTGGTCGTGGGCCAGGGGCTCCCCTTAGCTCCATTCCAGATGCACTGTCCTGGTTACCAGGGTCTGGTTTGAACAGCAGCACAATCACAGTACTGAAGATTAATGGCTGTGGGTAAATTGTCACAAGCCCATTAGTTGAAAGTTAACAGCTCATTGAATACCAGGACAGCAGCACTGATCAAATATTTATGGTCAGTATTTATTATGCACAACACTTAACCGCTCTGTGTTGATGTGATGGCCCATGTTGCTGAATAATGTATAAAAACTAGAAGCAGAGCAAGAAATAGAGGCCATGCAGTGATGAGGTTCAGAGTGTGGCCAGGAAGTGGGAGAGATCTAAGCTAGAGCCCTGGTTCTGCCATTTGCACCAATCTGGACTGTATGTTTCCTGGACTATAAACTCGTCGAGGTCAGGAGTACTTAGCCACCTCTACCCTTCTTGGCAAGAACCCACATCACTCAGCACGACAGCCTGGGCACATTTGGAACTTCCCAAGTCCTGTGTCTGACAGTTGACTGACTATCGGTTTCAGCATTGCAGAACATCTGTGGAGGTCTTCACCGGCATCACCAGACAGAGGTACCAGGAGCTCTTTCAGCTGAGGTTTCCCAAGCAGAGATTAACTTATCAACATGAGGACTGGTCCAAAGGTCCCCTCTATCACATGCAAACCTGGCTGGGGGCACTGCTTGTGAGTGTTGACCCTGCCTTTGCTGGTGGCTTCGCTGAGATGGCAGCCCCAGGGTTATAACTTACTTGTTGCAGATATCAAGAAGAGAAAGAGAAGACTCAGGTTGCCTTGGATTTTGCTGGATAAATGGATTAGTGACATCTTCCAAAATGATGCAGAGCACCACTGGGTGAAATCAGTAGGATCGGCCTTACTAATTCTTAAAAGGCAGAGAGCCTGGTCAGGATGCAGATGACAGGGCTTTCTGCAAAGTTATTGCCTGCAGAGAATCACCTGTTCTTTGCTCAAAGGATTTCTGAGCCACAGAACCCTAACCCCAGTTGTTCCCAGCCCCAACCACGGGAATTAGTCCCTGATATCAAACTCTGGATACATGAGGAGTTACAGTTCAGCCTCTGTTCTGCCTTCTGTTTCACATCACTGTATGGACTCCTTGGGAAAGATCTGGCTAAGAAAAGTAAAGACAAATTTAATTTTATATTCTGCACCTGCATATCATTTCCTTAAATACATTATCGTGGGCTGGCTGGGCTTGGGAAAATATTGACTGATACTGTGGTATTTTATGTTCCCATTTAAAAGACCTAATATTTTAATAGACTATGTTTTACAAACACCAATGGGAAAGGCATAAATCAAAGTCAGGATTTGGTGTGTTTTGGCCCTCGTCAATAACACAATTAAATTGTGAAGGACTGTGGACTTGGTTGAATGTCCAGGCTGCATATTAAATAGATGGTTGTAGATTGTCTCACTAAAAGCTGTTGATTTTTAATACTTCATGAGATGCCAGTAAATATAATTCAGGGGTGTCGCTTCTCCTGGATAGCTGGGAACCCCAGCTGTTCCTAGGGTAATTCACTCATTCTGCCTGTCCATTGGTTTCTTCATTTGTTCCTTCAGTGTGATGAAAGAACAGCACACAGCACTCCCTCCCACCTGGATGCATACACCGGCAAAGCTGTCATAAGGAAGAGTAACAAATGAAATGTCCCAGGAACTATTTGAGAAAATGTCACACATTTAAAGGTGCTACTGTAATTAGTAATGGTGATCTGCCACGGAGAGTAGAATTTTGTGCTGCTTCGCATTGTGGAGGTGGAGAGAGAGCAGCACAGTGAAATCTCCCTGCTAAGAAAGTCTTACTTTTCTCATTCCTCTCTCTCCTTAGCTCGCCATGAAGCACAAATGTTGAGAAACTGCCTATCCTGGTGACCCTTCCTAAGAGAAACTGAAGAATTTGTTCAGCAGTTTTTACAAGAATTCGGGACCTCCGCTTGCTTCTTTTTTTCCAATATTTGGACACTTAGCGTGGTTTTTGTGTTTTCTTTTCAGATGTTAATGTGAAAGAAAGGGTGTTGCATTTTTACACTTCCCTAATGATCTTGCTAATAAATACTACAATAGCATCAGCTTCATTTTGGGTTTTTCCCTCCCCCCACTGTGTGTATGTGTGTATATGTATGTTTTGAATATGTTTTCTTTATTAAAAAATATTTTTTGTAGTTTGAATGTGAAATTTGGACCAAATGATAAACTGCGCTGGGTCTAAACTGGCAACATGTATTTTTTTCTCTGACATGAAGCAGGAAGACATTTTAATGTGGTGACATCAGATGTTGTTTTTCCTAGATGAAAATGAAAGTCAAGCAGTGCTTAGTTTCACTCACTGTCCTAGCTACACTTAATTTGAAGATTAAAATTCTACATTGTAGAAAACAATTGGATTTATTGGGGAAAACAGCAGTCTTAGATTTTGCTCCTTGCATAGTAATCTTTTGCATGAACCATCACCTGCATTCAAAAATAAAAAATCAGAATCACAGATAGAAATCTCTTTCCTGAGTTACAGCTTAAATACTCTTGCTACTTATATCCAGCGTGTTTATTTGGAATTATCGTATGAAGGATAAAAATTTGAGAGTAAAGGCCTAAAGAAAAGCCTACCTAAAACCCTCTGTGCATTCACAGATGTTTCTCTTGTCATTGTCATAGTGATGGTCGCTGGTATGGAAAAGCGCTTATATTTTTATCAAAAAATTGATTTGTCCAGATAAAGGTCTGTGTCAATGATAATGTGAACAAGTAGTACATTTAAAATATTTGTCTTGTCTTTTTACAGTCACGCCTATTTTAGAGACATCTTTATAATGTCCTTGGGAAAGGGCCTTTAGTTTCTTGGTATCTGGATTTTGGAGGTTTTGATGTTGTTTTTGCTATCTATTTATTTAATGTAATTTAACATGTGAGTTTCTTGACAAATTGCATTTCATGGCAGTTGCACCTTGCCTGGTCTGATATAAAACACCACAATCACGAACCTTTACATCGCAGTCAGTTTCAATACAGTTAGTCACACACCTCGTGATTTTCTATTACTCAAGATAATAAGGGGCTTAGAGTCTAGAAGTTTTGTTTCCTAGAGGGTTAAAATGCTAAACATAAAAAAGCTGTGCTTTTTTATGAAACAAGGAGACAAGCTGCACATCTCAGACATATTGTAAGCCTACCACTGCAGCGCATTGATTTTTAAGCTGCCTCAATCTTCAGGACCCCTATCTATTCCATCCTATCCATTTTGCCAATTGAGCAGCACAGTATTGCAGCCTCTTACACAGGAGCATAAGATGATTTTTGGATTGTTAATACTGATTTAAATAGCTTAAGTTCTCCTAACTAAGCATTCCCAGGGAGAGAGAAAGTTTGTCTGCTGGGGGAAAAAATATCGGTGCACATTAAAAAGGAGATGAGATTTGTTGAAGACAAATTTTAGAAGCCTTTTAGATGATCCAACTCAAGAAAACCCTCTATAAAATTTAATAAACTATATAAGTTAACTATAATATTTTATACTTTCTTTTTGGTGTCTTAAAAGTTTAAAGAAGTGAGGAACATGCCATTTGGTGAGTACTGTTGGAAGCTATTTTAATTTCTAGGAAAAGCCCCAAATATCACTCCAAATAGACTTTGCAGACCTCAGTTCAGAATACACACATACACACACACACACACACACACACAGAGAGAGAGAGAGAGAGAGAGAGAGAGAGAGAGAGAGAAAGAGAGATGTATTTATCTTTCCAAATGGGATTCTGGTTTCAGAGAGAGAGAGTTGGTATAAATAATTGAAAGGATAAATCTAAAACCCCCTGACAATCCGCCAAATTCAAGAACAGAATTAGTTGCCAAATCTCTAACAACAGTGTTTGGGAAGCTGCTTCTAAAGTAGCTGAGGATGAGGTCATAAGCATACTGTGAAACCCAAGATTCTTCTTCCCTAGTAGAATTATAACAGTTACTCTTGATACATGTAACTATTCCATGAGTTGCCCTCTTTCCTCTCTGCTTATCCTTTTAGACCTAAGTCTCATTGGAAATAGCCTGAATTAGAAGAAAGCCCACCTGAATCTTTATTAGCCCCCTCTAATGATTAGTTTCCAGGCTGTGTTCATACCTTTGACCTCTCAGTGTCAAAAGTCCTACCTAGGCCTCTCCACAACAGAGAGGGCTGTAACAGCAATTCCTGCCCCTCCTTTACCTCCCAGCCTCTTGCAGAGGAGCCCAGTGATAACACATGTGAAGTTCTTTGCTATCCTTTTGTAGAAGGTGCTGCAGTACAAAGTATTAATACAGTCTAACTTAGACAAAATAACTCTCATCATTTGGGACCAGCTTGTTTGGCTGAGCTTGTCAGAAGACATTTCGTTTGTTTGTTTCATTTCTGCACTTCTCTATGAATTTTGGGATACTATATTTCTGTGAAGGACTTACTGTATGGACAACTCATAAAGGAAAAAAACTTTCCAGTATTACCACTTCTTCCTGGAATATAGCTATAGTATTTCTCACTAGTATTATTAGATACCTGTGTACAGAAAGTATGCAGTTATTCAGGTTAATGTTTCATATTAAAGAATGTATTTGTAAAATGTAACATGATCAGTAGTTACCTTTTTTCAAGCTTTGAAGAAGTTCAGATTACGTGTTAGACTTAAATTACAGTGAAATCTGTTTTAATACTACTTTTGTGGCTAGCAAAGGTTGTGTATCTATTTAAAATTATTTACAGGATGCCCTAAATAAAGGGCATTAAAGATAGGTTTAGCTCTTAATTTTAGAAATTGTGACACTCCTGATGTCTGTCGTACAGTTATTAATTCTTCAGAAGTTCTCTGAGATGTCAAATACAATTTTTGTTTAATTCAGAGATAAGTAACACCTGCTCTATTGATTCACTATTACAGCAAATCCTAATTTTGTCATTAAATATTTTAACTCTGTGATGAAATTTGTTTCTTGCAGTTATTTATGAAATCTATAAAACACTAACAGATAAGTACATGTCACCACATTTTTTATACTAATAGGAAAATCTTATGTGCCTAAGGGGAAACCTCAGAACTAGTATTAGCATGATGATAAAATGTCATTACATATGTTCTAATGGAAAAGCTTGGAATGTAATAAAGACTAAAGAGCTAACCTTAATCTAGACAATGGGCATCTATTCAGCAAGTTTTTTTTTTCCTTCTCCTGGGTGAAGCAATTAAGCTGATTAATAATTACCTTTCTCCTGATATTAGTGATGTGCGCCATTCGAGTTCATATTACAGCATGTGCCCTCATTCAGCGAACTAGTTTCATGCCCTGTTAAATTGGAAAGAAGACTTGCTTGTATTGTGTCAATTTATTTTTATGGGAAAGCAAATGCAACATATTGCATCGCCCCATTTGTTTTCAAGGCAAGTGATTTGGGCGACTACTGCAGCAGAACAGCTGTCTCTGGGTTGGCGTGGACGCTCAATAAAGCAAGGGGGACTTGGAGATATTTCCTGGGAGGAGTGCAGGTGGAAAGGAAAGACTGCAGTCTTCACTTTTCAGAGAAGAATGAGTAGAGATATGGTTTGGGTAGATGAGGACCCAGCCTTAAGTGAATTATGCATTTAAAGGCATTTGCTCTTGTGAACTAAATTATAAGCCGATTGCCCTGCAAAGATTATCCTTTTTTAATATAATTTTTATTAGCGATTACACCACAACCAACTCTCAAATTTTACGGGAGGATTAATATAAGAAATCGGTGGTGCCTTTCCCCTGCATCAATGAGAACATGCTTAGGAAAAACGATTGACTTATCATAATCATCATCTGCCTCAACAAGCAGATTGGGGCAGACGTGGGGAAACAGAAGGGGAGGCGCGGTGAAAAACACCAGAAATAAATTTCAAGATGCAAATGTCTGAGTATTGTTTTCTGTTGCTACCCATTCTGTGTGCCTTTCATAGGCTAACTTGTGTGGTAGCCGGAAGTACGTATGCATGTTCACCTAAGTACTCTCAGCAGGCGTGGAGAAGACAGCTGTGCACTGCTCTTGCATAGTCCCCTGAGTCACTCTATGCCAGCTTCCTGCCCATCTTGGCACGGGTGGGCAGGGGACAGTACTTCCTAGTGCCAGTGAAATTGTGGCAGTGCTACAGGTGGACCATTATCAGAGCATGAAGACAAGCAAAGATGTAAGAGACACGGAAAAAGGACACATCCCACCCACAAGGCAAGTCTCACATTCTCTAAATGTGAATGCACTAACAGTCCTCTTTAACAAGATGGTGCAAAGGACGGGTTTTCTTGTGGTTTGCTTTGTTAAAATCTAGAAAATACATCTAAAATGGTTTTGTATAACCAAACCAACCTGATGGTAAATTTGCCTTCATTTATACCTTCGCCCCAAACTTTTGAACAGTCTTCTTTCTCCTGTTCATGCCCTCCTTGCTTCCTGGCCCTTCCTAAATCCTGCTTTAGCTCTCCCTAAGGCGTTACCCGTAAATAAAGTATTGGTTTACAGTGGCTTTTTAGAGCAGTTCCTCCACCCTGGCTGCCTGCCACAACCAATTGGGGAGCTTTTAGAAATAAACACATTTTACTCCCAAATTTGCCATTTTGATGTCGTTGGTCATGTTGTGTTTTCTAAAGGAAAAAAAAAAAAATTCCAGCAGGTCTGGGATGATCTGGCACCTGGCTTCCCCGGATGTTTACTAGATTTTAAACTAGCAAATTAAAGCTGTTGAGGGCCAGGCTCATGCCTGTAATCCCAGCACTTTGAGAGGCTGAGGTGGACAGAACACTTGAGCCCAAGAGTTCGAGACCACCCTGGACAACATGGTGAAACCCCATCTCTACAAAAAATACAAAAAAATAGCCAAGCGTGGTTGTGCACACCTATAGTCCCAGCTACTGAGGAGGCTGAGGTGGGAGGATCACTTGAGCCTGGGATGTTGAGGCTGCAGTGAGCCATGATTGTGCCACTACACTCCAGCCTGGGTGACAGAGCAAGACCTTGTCCAAAAAAAAACCATCGAGAAAATTAAATATAATGTGCATTTAAGCTATATTACTACTATAGTGTAACCTGCCTTAACCCCCATTTTGTTTTCTCCCTTGAGCCTCATCTGGAACCTCAGGATTTCCAGAGTTGTTATTTTCACTTCCCACCTCTCTCCCTCCCCTAAAGTTTTCTGACACATTTTCTTCTTTCTGCTCACGAGTCATGAACCTGGGCATAACAGTGTCTGCCCCCGTGGTCCATCTCACTGGCCACTGATGGACGTAGTTCGATGAGGCAAAGCTGCCTTGCCTCCTTCAGCCCACAGGGACTAATGGACAGACCTACATGATGCTGAGTTGTTTGCCGATGTATATTATTATTGCTCTCACATTTTGTCTGTTAGACGTTTTAAATGCTACTGATTTTCTCAGATAAAGTGGAGATATTTTTGTACATTATTTTCCTGTCTTCTGCATACTCAGCCA